CACACACACACACATGAATTGTAATCGAACACAAACACACACAAAAAACTCATAAAAATAAAAGTACACTTAGTGAAGTTATTAAAAAGTAATTTCTAAACTGTTGAAAACGAACAGAACTGGGTGAGTTTTTTAAATCAGAACTTCACAGATTAGTTTCCAGGACAGAACCAGCGGTTCTGATGGTTCTAGCTCAACACAAACACTTCCTTGCCTGCTGACTGGTTTTCTTTACTTCCTGCCTGTCAGACAGCAGCTTTTACTTTCACCTGACTTCACTTTCTGCTTCTGGAGACTTTTAAACTTTCAGGAAGATCCAAACCGACAAGATTCTTCATTTAAACATGCAGCTTGAGCCAAACGCAGCGCCCTGACTGGCAGCTATAGTCACTGTCCTGTTTTCAGTGGCCTCTTCTAAACGTGTCCTCACAAACACAGCACTGTTTTCAGAAATGTTCTCATCCACAGCGAAACACTAAAAACAACACATGAAGGTCAGTCATGTGACAGTAACGACCAACGGTTTCACGGCTGCCCTAAAGGAGAAGACCTGAAAGTGAACAAGCATCCTCAAACAAGCAGAATGTGAAGTTCAGTTTGTGGTCACAGACGTGAACCAGTTGAGCCAGTGGTTTTGAAATGAACAAAGAGTTTATGTTACATTTTGTTCAGATTATAGAAACACCTGGTGGCCCATTCAGAGAAAGGTCCACATTTACACAGCTTAAAGCCTACGTGTCTCCACTGAACAAACGGACGGCACCATAACTGTACGTTCACTGTACGAAGACACGCGGCCAGCGTCACTGAGGCCCACAGACGATGATGTTCACCAGAGAGGAAGGAGTGAGCAGAACGCTACAGAGCTTTAGCATGGAACTACCACAGAAGTGCCATGATGCATGAACACATGTCAAAACTACAAGTTCAAGGTTTTTGGCTCTGGGGTGGACCAGAATGAAGCAAAGAGGGTAGAAAGGTAAATCAGTGAGTCATCTGCATACGGTCGTATCAGAAGTTTTACAACAACCTACTGACACCAAACTCTTTATTTTTTAACCCAAATAAATGATAAAAAAAACTAAAACCTAACACTTAAATTTTTTAGAAATGTGATGAAAACATTTGGTTTAATCAGAAATCAGAGGCTGTGTGCAGCAATAGATGTTAGAAAAAAGGTTCTGGTAGAAGCAGAAGATCAGGAGCACATTTTGGATTCAGCACATTTTCAGAGAAAAAAGTTCAAAGTTTTTAAAAGTTTAGTTGAAAATTCCAGACCGAAGACGTTTATATAATTGGATTCATGATAGCAGAGTTTCTGCTCTCTGGCATCAGCAGATACCTGTGTTGTCGGCTATTAAGGAAGACGGCGGCAGCAGTTTCGGCCATGGCAAAACTGCCAAATCTGTGTGAAGGTTTGATTCGTGCTTTGAGTACTCAAAATCAGCTGATTTACGAGCTAAACCAGGGCTGTTCAACTAAACTGCTCAGGGGGCCACAGTTACTGAAAGCCAAGATCTCAGGGGCTGGACATCCAGCAGTTATTGTCATTAAGCAAGTTTGTTTTAAGGTTTAAAATGTACGGTAGTTTAATTAAAAAATGAACCCATTCATGGGCCAAACTGAGCTCAACCATGGACCTGATATGGCCCCCGGGCCACCAGTTGAATAGCCCTGAGCTAAATCGTAAAATGGAAGCGATTTGTGAGAATCGCAGGCCACCTGCGGCTTCTGGGACTCGTCAACATGTTGGAGACGACCTTGGAGGGGGCTCATGAGCACGGACCAGTGGAACGCCCACAAGTCTGGCCATTTTGGATCGAAAGTACCAGCAGGACTCAAGACTGACGAGAAATAATTCTGCCTGAAAAAAATCAACAATTGTGTCTTATCTGAATCTGACTTCCCGGTTGGCCTTGAAAGCAGGCCGACTTATCAAATCTCTCCAGTAGCAGCAGCAACGTGCACTCCGCCCATCTTTCTGACGACTGCACGAACATAATCTCTCTGTATTTTGGTTCAATGATAATAAATCTTATTCCGATGCTCATCTTTAAACACTGCAGCTGATTGATTCTCTGTAATTAACAAGCAGAAGCTGTGGAGGTTATTAACGGTTTACAGTTAAAGCTTTTTCCACGAGCACAAACAACGTTTATCCACGACGTCTTTGAGCCGAGGCTGCAGGAACGAAGAAATAAAAAACAGAAACTGATCTGTTTCAAATTTCAACCACCGCTTGAAGCTCGCTCAGATCTGAGCTGCTCGTTTCAGTTTACTGGAGATCAGGGCTTATGAGAGGTCAGCTTGTTTCAACATGTTGTCGCATCATCCCTCGACTTAAACCAAAACCGGGTCAGAGACATAAAACTGTAAAGATAATAAAAACCGACTTGGACTGTCAGCGACTCGGTACACTTGCAAACGAACGTAACGGCGACGTGTTTTAAACATGTTTAAAACTCCGGCGTGACGTGACTCACGAGCTTTTTGCAGTTTGTCACAAACAGTCTCAGCTCAGTGTGATCCTGACGTTCACGACGTCAGGGGAGCTCTGAGAGGCTGAAATAAAAAGATTCAGAGGTTTTAAACTGGAAATGTTCATATTAGTCTCTGAAATGGAATTACACTCGGAACGTGCGGTTATTTAGAGTTCTTTAACACCAAGCTGGAGGTGAATTACAATAACTTCATTCTACTGAAACAAATCAGTTTGAAACAGTTCTGAAGGATTTATCTTAAAACAAAAATGTTTTTTTTAACTTTAAAAAAAGTCATAAAAATATAAACACATGAATTTCAAGGTTTTAAATTTTGTCACGGATGATAGAAGACAAACTTCCTGTTGATTTAGTTTCAGTCGCTCTGCTCCTCTCCAGCTGAAACCAAAATGGCTCCTCGTCTTAAACCCAGCTGTGACCGAGCGTCGCCTCGTCACGTCAGTCTGGACAGTTTGTTTACTTCTGAGATAAATACTCCGCTAACATTTAGCTGTTTTTAGCATTAAGCTAGGTTAAGTTTGTGTTCGGCTGATGTTCCCAGACAGAAACCAAACTCACTTTAAACGTTTCAGCTGTTTGCACCAGAGGAAAACATCAGTTTGGGTCAGTCAGCTGTTTTGGTTTACATCAGGTTCTGTTTGCAGCTTTTCATGAATCTAAAATCTGCACTTTGCGTCTACAAGGATTAAATATTTACCTGTTTTATATTGTTTAGTTTCTATAAACTACACGAACTGATTGTTTAATTTTCTCCCAAAGATCAGGATGAATCAGAATCCAGCTGTGCTCTCACGTTCGGTGGAAAATGTGCTGAAATTTTTATGTGAAATTAATATTTGAAGAGGACGGGAACCAGTTTTTGGTCACTCACAGCTAAAAATAAGAGTTCTAGATGATTGACCCTGTTTCAACTTCAGATATTAAAACATGAAGGACTTCAGTTTTAAATGATGGTCCCATTTTGATGAAGGACTCCAAGGACTGTGAGGAAGCAGATGTCTGAACTGGGTCCAACAAACAAATCCTAAACCCTGAACGCTGGTCTGCAGGACCCCCAGAGCCCAGACGCTCGTCCTGCTGCAGGACCGGGTCGGCTCACGAACAAATCTGTTCGGGTTTTCATGTAGAGAAGATTTCAGGGTTCAGGAGCTGAGCTTTTCTCATCTGTCCGACCCAAACCTGGCGGCAGCAGAAAGAAACCACGAAGCACAAAAGAAACGATGTTTGTCTACAACACGAAGCCGGACCAACACCGGTTCAAGAGAAACAACCGGTTCAGGGGATTCAGACTCGTTAGTCGGAGGAATGCAGGATGTCGGGTCAGATACAAGGCACTATAGATCTTCAACAGAACGGCTAAATCAGGGGAGGTTGGAGGAGGCGTCACCACGAGGAGCTGGAACGTCTCAGGAGCTTCAGGGACAACGGAGAGAAAGTAGAGCAGAGAGAACGGTCCAGCGGAGGAGTACAGGAGGAAAGGAGGGACGTGGTTAGGTCTGCATCTCCGCACGAAGCATCCACGGAAACCAACAGCAGAACAGGAGCCTGGAGGAGGAGAGAGGAGGAGAGGGGAGGAGTAGGAGAGAGGAGGAGGAGGAGAGAGGAAGAGGAGAGGGGAGGAGGAGAGAGGGGAGGAGGAAGAGAGAGGAGGAGAGAGGGGAGGAGGAGGAGGAAGAGAGGAGGAGGAGGAGAGAGGGGAGGAGGAGAGAGAGGAGGAGGAGAGAGGGGAGGAGGAGGAGGAGGAGAGAGGAGGGAGGAGAGAGAAGCAAAAAGAGACATTTTTGAGTTTTCTTTGAATCTGAAACATCTGGTTAACTTTTTTCATCAACAAACAACAATAAAAACAACTTTGAGCATCTCAAACTGCTACAGGACCGTGCAAAAGTCTTCATCCAGCCCTCCGTTTTGAGCTATTTACAAAAATACAGTTTACAGTAATTATCTGTTTAAATAAGTAAAGTTTACAGTGAGTGAGTGTCTGAATGATGGATCAGTGGTTTGCGTCTGCAGAGGTGAAGACATCTGCATTCTGATGGAGTCATTTCCTTTTGTCCACAAGTAAAACAAATACATCATGAAATCTTGTTTCCTTCCTGTTTGTAAAGAATCTGAAGCTGCTCCATGAGAAAATTCTGTATAAACTCTGTTAGAAATGTCCCAATGAGGAACTGAACCGTTTTCTTTTAACGATGAAGGTAAAATGTGAAATATCAGCTATAATAAGAGCTGGTCAGATTCTCTAAAGAGCTAAATAAAGGAGCAACAATTAACCTCGAATTGTCCTTTACTGAAGAATTGAAGTTAATATATCCCATAATCCTTTGCGGCTGCATCTTTCAAAGCAATGCTGGGTCAGTTTGAATAACCAGGATTTACGTAGAGAAATCTGAGGTCAGGACTGAGAGAAACCTGTGAGAACTGTTTCTTTAATGAAGCAAGATTTAATGTTGTCATTTTATTTTAATTATCTAAAAACTGTAAATAAAGTTTGTTTAATAAAGATTATTTATGCACTTTTTGTTGAGGGTTGGTGTTTCTCACCTGGATATGGAGTTCTCGGAGGTCAGGTCTTTAGGAGATCGCATTGTGTTGAAGTTTCTCTTGGGCTGTGACACTGCAGACACAAACAAACAAACAAAACAAATACAAAAACAAAAATATGTCAGTGAGATGAAGCAGGCTCATCTTGTGTGGTTTAGATGTCTCTAAAAGGAAAGGTTTGATTCAAACTGAGAAAACCCCGGTCAGAAGACGTGGACTTACTGGAGACCTGGTGGACCTTCTTCACCATACAGTTATCGTTTTGTGAACCGTCTTTAGGTCCTCCAGTCCTGAAAACATCAAACAAAACACTGTCAGATTGCAATGTCTCATAAAGAAATGTTTAAGTTCACAATAAAAAAGAATGTTAATAAAATATCCTTTGTGATTATGGTTGTACCTCTGGACACGGGAAGGTGGAGCAAACACTCCATATTTGGGCAGGCAGCTGAAGTATCGGACCCCAAACACTGAGCCGTCGTGTTTCCCAGTGGGCTGATCCAGCTCGATTCCGAACCAGTACCCTGCAGGAACAGGAACACACCAGTTCAGACTACTGTAGGACATGGAGGCATTCATCTCATTCCCAACAAATCTGTGGGTTTTGGACTGTGGAGAAATCACCCAGAGAAAAACCCACTCAAGCAAACATGTCATGAAAACTCCACAAAAAGGGACAAATGAGCTAAGAATGCTGTGATGTCATGGACCAAACTGCAACGCAGCGATTCTGCATGTGCGTTTATAATCTCTGAGATGAACTGGACCTCAAGTTTAATCTGAACACATTTTAACAAGTAAATTGGGATTTTGGTGGACATATCTGGTTTTCTCTGACAGAACAAAGAAACACATTCCATTTCTCCTCACAGTTGTGTAACTACCAGTATAACCTTTATCTTTGTTTTAAATTATTGTTTTACTTTTATCTGTTGATTTTGCAGTCACTGGCTTAGTTGTAAGCAGGAAAGGCAAAATCTTGCTGACAGTAGAAAACAAATTACTGTTCCTACACAGTCTGAGACTGTTTTTGCTCAAACACCACGGGTTGTACAAAAGGTTCCAGTAAGGTGTGGGTGTGATTTTTAACCTAATGTTCGGATGCAGAAATATGTCCATATTCACATTCATATTCGAAGTCAAAATGTAACCTGATTTTCTGGATTTCTGCTGGGGTCAGTCTATCCAGGACTTTGAACAAAACATGTTTGTTTGTCCAATGAGCCGTTGAAAGTTTGATAGTGAAAGGTCCATGATGCCAAACTATGTCAATTTAAGGTTTAAATACAACCCATAATGTTATCCCAATTTGGATTTTGCTGTTTGAGACATCTATTGATTTGTGTCAGTAAAATCACAGCTTATGTGACCTTGAGTTTTTTTCCTAATTCAGTGCTTATAAAAAAAAGTCTCTTCATATTGGCGCCCAATGTGGAGCTCAAACCCACTACCCTGAAATTAGGAGTCCTATGATCTACCAACAAGAAAAAACATGATTTGTTTAAAGAGGCTGCAGAGAGATCAGGATATGGTACACACATCTACATTTTTAAGCAAACAGGAGATAATGCATAACAAAATTAATAGATTATCTCTGTAAAATATATATATTTTATATTGAATGAAGCTGTTACTTGTGCAAAGCTTGGAGAATCTATGAAGGACCAGCTAACACACCTGGAGCAAAGTCTGTTTTGCCAAAGAAGCGAACAATGCCGTGTTTCTGACCGGCCACCAAAACCTGGTCTCCAACCTCCACGTTTGTTCCGTCTGGATCCAGGTTCACTGTGGACTTCTTCCTCTGGGCTGAGAGCACAGAACGAACTGTGATAAAACTGATTTGTCCATATATAATAAAAACAGTCAGAATTACAGTTTGGGCACCTTTCTCTCTCTCTTTCTCCTTTTTCTCTTTCGCCTTCTTGGTTTTTCCAGCCAGGCGAGATGCCAGGTCCATGCGAGGGGTCCGGGGGGTGGAGGTGACAGATGAAGGAGTCTGCTCCACAGCCTTGGAAATCTTTGAAACTGGTGCAAAGATGCCTACAGACCAGAAATAATTCAAACGTCATTCGAAATCTTAACACTGACACAGAACGGATCAGATCTAGATGCATCGTTGGGTCACCAAGTTTAGGAGGGCAGATGAAGTAACGGACTCCGCCCACAATGCCGTCGTTCTTTCCCTCAGGCTCGTCCAGCTCCACTCCGACCCACTGACCACTTGCAAACTCTGTGGTTCCACAGAACCTCAGAGTTCCAGTCTGACAGAGAGACAGAAAAAGGACAAAATAATTAGTAATTAATTAATTAAAAATAATGCTTGTAAATCGGATTTATCAAAAATGTCCTGAATGGGCCAAACTAAAACCATTAATCTTTAAAAGTTGATAGATAAGTAAAACAAGATAAATACAAAAATCTTCAGGAGTAAATGGTCAGATTAAGACTAATTTCTAGTGTCTACAAAAATCTAATAGGTCTGTTACAATATAATATCAGATTCAAGTAATTTTGTTATAGTTCTTATTTTACAAATGAACCAAAATACTCTGACACTGTCATTCTACCAACAGAGGCTTTCCCTTTAGGAATGAAGCATTGTGGGAAATTTAGGTGGTGACAACTAAAGACTGTGTCCACACTGGAAATTAAACAAACTTTAATCAGTTGTTCAGTGTTCAGGTCCAGCTTTAAGATTTCTGTTTATCGTCTTCAGGTCTTCAATATCTATAAGAACTCGAGCTATGCAAATTTCCTCTTCATCTTTTTTCAGATTTGACCAAAACCTAAAGCAGAGTTCTTAAATTTCATATTTAAAGGTCCAAATATGAAGTCTAGATGAGGACAAAAGTCCAAAACAACAAGGGATAAGCAAGTCCTATGTATTAAATTTGATATAAAAATTGGTTAGTTAATATTATGGAGCAGTGGCCGCCGGTCCATTGGGGCAAACAAATTAATTTGCCCCATAAAGTAGTTCCTTCTAATAAATAATGTGAATGACTTGCATATTTACTGAACTTATGTGCACTGTTTTGTTCTGTGCATTTTCAAATATTTTTATGGTTTTAAATTAAATTTAAAATGATTCTTAGTGATTCTCAGTTTTTTACTTATTTACTGTTATGGGGCGGTACCGTTCAGCGACCCGTGCTCATCAAGCGGATCAGAACATGTCCAGTGATATGAACAGTCAACTCCAACAGTCTCATTCGGGGTGTCATATTTTCAGGGGTGAGGGTGGATGGGCTTGATCCCTTGTTGAAACATATCTTTAAATCGGTGATGACATATTCTAATATAATTTCTTCACTTTTATATATTTTTGTATAAAAGTGAAAAAACTTTTACTGATCCAGTAAAAGATTGTGATTTTTTTT